CCAACTAACCAAGCAACTAATCAAACAACCAGCCAGCCAGCCAATGAAATAACCAACCATCCATACAATCAATCAACCAGGTAATTAACCCATCAACTAATCAATCAATCAATCAATCAACCAACTACCAATCAACCAACCAACCAACCAACCAATCAATCAATCAATCAATCAATCATCCACCCAGCCAACCAGTAAGCAAGCAAAACAAACAAACAAACCTGAATCAAGGACCTTGACAATATTATTGGCCCTATTGACCTCGAGGACGATGGGATCCACCATCTCCATCTCCATCAGCCTCTCGAACACTTTCCTCCTCCTCTTCACGGTCGACAACTTCTCCTCCAACCTTTTCTGGTACTCGTTCGGATGGTACTTCCTCTGAAACCTAATCACAAGTGACGTTAGGATGATGACGTCATAATTTTTTTTTATTATTATTCTTTAAAAATCAGGATCTGACAGACGCAGAAACTGTTACAACATGCAAGGCAATAGTAATGATGATGTGGTGGTGGTGACGTGGTGATGGTGGTAATGGTGATGATGATGATGATGATTGGGTAGCCAACTATCAATCACACAACTAACAAACCAGCCAACCAACCAACCAACCGGCCAATCAATCAACCACACAACCAACACCACCCAACCAACCAACCGACCATTCCTCGTGCTTATGCCTTTCAAAGAACTCAGTAGCATTAGCAGCCAGCACCTCAGACTTGTGACGCTCATACTTCAGCCTCAAATCAGCCTCTGTCAGTGTCTTGTCCCCAGAGTTCAAGGCAGCAAACTCTTCAAAGGTAAAAGTTCGCCTCCTAAAGGTCAAACTACCGCTACCTATACTGCCACTACCAATACTACCGCTACTACTACTTTTAATACTACTACTATTAGCCACATTACTGCTCGAAGCTTGTGTAGTAGCAGCGTGGGCGGCAGTTGACGACGACGACGTATGTGATGATGATGATGACGATGAAGTCACTGGAGATTTGATGCTACTGCTGCTGCTACTGATGTTGCTGTTATCCTTGTTCTGCCTGGATGATGACGATGAAGATGATGATGACGACAATGATGATGATGATTTATGGGCCAATGATGATGATGATGCTCTACTGTGATTGGTCAGGATTTAAAATTATTATTATTTTACTTTTTTAAGTATTATTAATATTTATCATCATCATCACTATCATCATCATCATTATTATTATTATTGTTGTTGTTGCAATCAATGATAATGTGATGATGATGTGATGACAATGATCATTCAGGCCTGTCATTCAGCTACCTTGGGGAGGGTGGAATTGCAGGGCTCGGATGTTGGGGTGCCGACGTGGTCCTGGTGGTAATGATGATGATGATTGTATCAAAGATGTTGATGATGATGATGTCAAAGAAGCTGATGATGATGATATCAAAGATGCTGACGATGATGATGACGTCAAAGATGCTGACGATGATGATGGTGTCAAAGATGCTGATGATGATGGCACCAAAGATGCTGATGATGATGATATCAAACTTCGATAACCAACAAACACCAACTAAGAACGCCAGAAAAGAAAAATGAAAAAATAAATCCCAAAGATGTACAATGACCAACAATTACAGAAGAAGAAAAACACCACCACGAAAAATGACCCTCACACCAACTGACCAATCCCTCTTGAACTTTTTGGCAAATGGGGCTGAGGCTCCTGCCCCACCCACCCCTGTGGCAGATGCAGCCGCCGAAGCACCAGTCACATCAGGCCGGTAGACGTGGTTCTGAAACCTCTGGGAAAAGCCTGGCCTAGCTAGCCAGGGTAATCTGAAAAGAAGAAGGAGAAACCAATTCTTCAGACATGAAGATGTTTCATCGATAATTAAATTTTAAAAAAGTTATAAATAGAATAAACAACAAACAATAATAATAATAATGAAAATGACAATATAGTAATAATAATAATAATAATATAAAAACAAAAGAATGATAATGATGATAGCCTTGCCAGCCAGGATAACTTGATGTATAGAAGGAGGAAAAATTGCAACCATCCAAAAAAAAATTCCATTGTAAATGTAAACTTAAAACTTTTAAAAATATGAAACAATAACGCATTTATTGAATTAATAACAATATCATTAATTATTATTATTATTTAATATTTATTATTATAGAATTACAGGCAAAACATTAAGCCCAACTTTCCAACAATAGTAAAATAAGCATACACAATTGAAGCCACTGAAATATACATACATACATACATACATACATACATACATACATACATACATACATACATACATACATACATACACACACATGCACACGCACGCACACACACACACATACATTCCAGCATCATCAAATTTGCCAAAAAATTATAACACATGTATTGTGTGTTGTTGGTATGCACTGTGTGAGTATGTACGAGTGTGTGTGTGTGTACGTGTGTATATGTGCACGCGCGCGCGTGTGTGTGTATTTGCTGAAGTTTGTGAAAATTTTAAACCAAAAACCTAGCAGAGGATTGCCATGGTAAATGTAGACCAGCCTTCTCCCCGACACTTTTTTGTTCCACACGAAACTTCTCTCGCATGTGGTCTCTACTAAATTCATCAGCCATTTTGATCCTTGACCCCTAGTTGTTGGCCTTTGATTGCACACTGAACCACAGGCAGATCTGTCATGAAAATAAATAAACAATAGACATATATATATTATATATACATTTATAGATATATATATACATATAAGTTTACCAGATGGTATAATGGTTAGAATGCTTGGCATTTGGCCTGTTGCAGTGACTGAGTTCAAATGCAAAAAGATTCCTGCTAGCTAGCTACATGCAATGTATGTAATGCATCGATTCCAACAAATCAACGGAAAATATTTTAAACTTACAGAAACAAGTAGAAACAGCATTGATAATGAACGTAGAAGCATGAAAATAAAATGTAAAAATAAAAGAAATAAATGGATGAATGAGTAAATGAATGAACAAATATAAACTAAAGTTCAAAAAATTACTAATAATTAAAATAATTATTATTAAAAACTTACAAGAATTCAAGCAGACTCATGTTTAGTTATTTTCAATTAGCATAAATAAAATAAGTTACTAAAATATAAAATATGAAATGTGCGTAGGTATGTATGTACTATATATGTGTATATGTGTTTATATATATATATATATATATATATATATATATATATATATATATATATATATATACAGCTATCGAAATTAGATGCATTTATAAACTTTCACAAGAAAAAACTGTAAAGAATTAAATATGATGAAATCAAATAATTGAAAAGTCATTTCTTTAACTTCATATTTTAATATCTTGAAGCTTTTTTAATTATATTTTAATTATTATTAATATTATATATATATATATATATAAATAAATATAAATTCATATCTTGTTTTATGATACAATTGCAATTCTTCACATTTTATTTATTATTTTAATTTATATAGAAAAACTCCAAATGATAAATTATATTATGTATAATTTATATTTAAATATTATATGTCTTTTATTTTCACTAATACATGATAAATTATTAATTAATAAATCCTCTTTTTAAATATATAAATTTCAGTCTATTTTATTAGTAATTAATACTATTATTATCTATTAATCAAATTAAAGTAAAATTATGAAATTTGAATATATAAAATGAAAAATTAATTAATTTGTTTTGTTTATTAAATAATTTAAATATGGATGGTTTCATTTATTTGGTTTTCAACACTATATCATGTCAATTATTTTTATGAATATATTAATTTCAATTTTCTATATTTTTATTTAAATATATTATATTATTATAATTATTTAAAATTAAATAAATGATTGGCTTAAAATAAAAAACGCAGGTTATATATATATTTATATTAAATATTTTTTATTATGCTAATTAAATCTAACATTTACAAATGTGATAAATTAAATAAATTAAAAACTGGAGAACTGAAACTGCGTAACTTTCAATTAATTTTTTTATTGTTTTAAAATTTAAATTTAATTTTAAATTCAAATTACAATTGCAATTTTATAACCCAGTCATGAAATTTATCGACAAATAATATTATCACATAAAATTAATTTTTATTATAGATAACAAATTTATATTTATATATAATTTTTATTAAAAAGCTGAACTAAATTTAATTTATGAATTTTAAAAAAATTATAAACAATTCCGACAATAAAATCCATCATACATATTTCAAAATTTACCAACAGCAAAATTTATAAAAACCGTATTTTTATCGACAGAAACTAACAAAACAAAATTATTTCCCGAACGAAAAAAATCGCTATTTTTCGCATAAACTTTTTACTTTAACGCAACGGCACAACAATCGCCATTTTGAAACCAATGAGTTACGAGAAGAAACAAGGTACAAGAATACAAATTCGCCACTAAACATTTTCGCCACCAAAATTAAAAATTTATACTAGACACGGTAGCAACACTACCATATACATGGTAGCCACACTACCATACATTTTGCTATGTAAATTATTATGAATACCTATGATTGCACCTCTTATAACTCTTCTTTTTGGGTTTTTCACCAAGTTATAAACACAAAATACACAGTGTATGTGAATAAACAGTAAATCAACTTATCCTATACACATGATATGTCATCTTGCAATGTTATAGGTTGGGATCTGTTTGCATTCGAAGACCGTCACTACAACAAGACCATACATTCACACCAATTAATTCACCTCGTACTTTTCAGCTTATCTATGCATGTAAATATCATTGTTGAATTCTCTTAAATCTAACGCATATCTCTTAGACAAAATAATTTATCTATTCGTATCGGTTGATTGAATCATTCATACGTACTATGTTAAAAGTAAACAATGCTGATGAATATGCGTCTTTCAAATGGTATATATGTATGTCTGTTTTATGCGTATGCTCATATGTTAAAACCAAATCAATGATGAGTGGCACTACACAGTCAAACATCCGAATAAAACATGATTAACAATTGATATCTCGTCACTCGCTCATATATATATATATATATATATATATATATATATATATATATATATATTTTACAATATTCTATAAATTCTACCGAATGTTTGGCGTTAATATGTTTGTAGTTCGTTTTTTCGATTTTTCTCAAAGTTTTTTGGTGAACGTTTATTACTAATTCGCATCAAAGTTCAATTTTGCAACACCAAAGTTAATTGTTACAACGTCAAAGTTCGTCTTGACAAAGTGAATATTTCCCTATATATACAGCAAGGAGCACTGATGATGATTCATTCGGAATCGAAATATGGCCTTATTTGCAGCATGATTTCGAAAAATAAGTTTATTTTGAATTTTAATAAACTAAATTTATTTGCAGCATGAATTCGAAAAATAAGTTTATTTTGAATTTTAATAAACTAAACGTTCACCAAAAAACTTTAGTGAGAAAAATCGAAAAAACGAACTATGTAAAAATTATGGTCTATTACCAACATATATATATATATATATATATATATATATATATATATACCAAAAG